CCCATTTTTTTCTTATAATCAGTGCTGTCGAGTCTTTGAGATTAGCTTATGAAAAAAAAAAAAAAAAAAACAAGGTCTTTGAGATTAAATTATAAATATAGTGGAATGTATATTTTGGTAAGCAAACCTACAGCAGCATATATTCTGCTCTCCTTTTCTACCATACTCTTTTCTTTAATTTCATAAAGTTGTTTGTATTTTTTTAAGTTTTTCATATACCATTCAAACACGGTTGACCCGCTTTTCTCAAATTTCGGTTAATTAAGAATATGCCTTCTAAGATTCGGTTCCTGTGATGCACATGTTATGATGTCTCATGCAATGCACGAGCTACTCATGTGACATTCTTTTAATGTCACTTTACTATTATACTACACATTTTATTAGGTTACTATCATCAATCCGCGTCGTAAGTCGAGACAAAGTTCACTTGTTTAATAAATGGTTGTTTGTTATATACTTATATTATATATATATATATATATAGCGACATTTAACACAGAGCAGGCATGAGCATATGTGCGTTAAAAGTGACCGGAGATCATTACTCCTTTTATACTTGAAAAGTGGAGGGTCTTGACTTGACGCATTTTCTCACGAGATCAGTCCTCCATGGACATTTTAAATAATTTTCTAGAGTCCGAATTTTGTAGGCCGAACGTGACATGAAGCTGTGGGCTATTTGGAGGTCAAATAGTTATATGCTTTACTACATCGTGGAATGATTAATTCTTCGAAGGATATAATAATAAATGGATTTTTTTTTTCCCTTGACAAATATGAGATAGAAAAATTATTACAATCTTTGGAAGGGAAATTTGAAAAATTGTCACAAATGATTGAATTCGTAATATTTAAGCAAAGGTGAAGAGACATCATTAATCTTTGACTTAACAAATAATAGGGTTCGAACAACATTATTTGAGGGAGACCTAGACTCGTGTACTTGTTTTGATTTTTGCAACGATTGTTTTACAGATGTGGAAAAAATTTACTTTCAAAACTATTCTATTGCTACTCCTAAGGACCCAGACACTTATCAATGGGTCAGTGATCTAGTGATATCAGTCTCTTATATCTTAAAGGAAGGTCAGGGGTTCAAGTGTGTGTGAGTATCGACTAGGGAAAAAAAAAAAAAGACCCAGTCACTTTGGTTGCATCGTACATGCTTTAAAAATAAATGCCCAAAATTTCTAATCTTGTGAGGCTTGAAAAATGTTAAATGTATGCAACTTTACATCTTAATATGTTATTATTTAGATTGACATTGGTACATAATCTAAATGGATAGCTTAATGAGAAACTCTCACCATAACATTCTCAAGGTTGAGAGTTTGAATCATCTTTAAGTGACCATAGAATTTTTTTTTTGGTAATTGTGTAATGCACGTGCTCATAGTGAATTATAAAATGTTCTAAAAAATTCAACGGTTCAAAAAAGAAAAGTGTTGATTTCTTAGACTAAACTCACTTGTAAGATTTCTTCTTATAAATTTGATTTAAATATTGACATAAAATCCTCATTGACTTGTAGCGTTTTGCATTAAACTCTCATTTTTAATTTATGAGTAAATTACACTAGCCTTACTAGATTAGTTGGAGGGTTTTTTTTTTTTTTAAATAAAAAAACCTGAATTGATTTGGTAGGGATAATTTTGGTAATAAGTTAAAAAGTAACCCTATGTTGGTTGGAGGTCTTTTTTTTTTTTTTTTTACTCAAAAAATAATAATAATATGATCATTAATTTATAGCCCATTCGATATTTATGTAGCATTGTAGATGAAATCATGAAAACATTACAAGCATGCCAGCATACTAGAATTCTAAATTCGAAATTTATGTAGATGAAAACATAACAAGCATGCCATCATTATAGAATTTAATTAATATTAATGTAACTGGTTAGGAAAAATCTACAATATGATCATAAGCACAAGAATACATGTCCCAATTGTTATGAAAATTAACAGATAAACAAATAAGAATTGAATCACTCAAAAATTGAGCCCGATGACAGAATTGTAAGGAGACTATGATAAAAAGCAAAACAAAATTACAAAGTTTAGAATGAATAACCATTGCACTCCATTATACTCTTACAGAATTAGACTTCAAAATTGTGGGTGGGTGTCATAAGAGCGAGTGCTAGATATCAAGATGGGTGATTGATTAAGAAGTCTCATGCATTATATTTGGGGAACGGGAGGGTCATTACAATTTAAGTTTATATTTAAGGTTCAACACTTGCATATTGCGTCTGGGTAGGGTGAGGGCTCTTACAATTTAAATGCTATACGTAAGCAGGTTCAACATTTTTTTATGACACAATGCGTTTTAAAACCGTCATGACCGTGAATCAACAAAACTCTAAAGTTAAGCATGCTTACTCTAGAGTAGTAGCAGGATGGTTGATCTCTTGGAAAGTCTTTGGTCTAGAGAAGCTAAAAACGAATAATATTACGTCTGGATAGGGTGATATCGGTTACAATTTACATGCCTAAAAGTTTTTATAGCAAATGCCCCTTTAAATATGAAAAAGTCTCCAACGATTTATAGAAAATCGAAATCGAAATCGAAACTGTTGAGATATAGAATTGAACTAAATCATAAAAGGCGAATTTTATTTGATTGTGAACTGCAATTCTCTTTTGATAATATTGTGAAAACAATTTGTTTAGTTGACCAAAAAAAAAAAAAATTTGTGAGAACAAACTCACTGTGGATCACGTGGATACCAAACCAAACAAGTTTGGTGACATGTTGACTATTATTATTGCTTTCCAAAAGACAAAAGCATTAATAACTCTAAGTCAAAAAACTACAATTTTCTCCAACTTGTGATTGTTTTGGTTCAATTGCTCGACTGACAATGAGTAATAGGTAACTAATTCAATATAAAGTGAAAATATAATAAATTTGCTAAAGAAAATTTTTTATTTCGTTTAAAAATGTATAATATAAAAGTTATTGTTCCATAGACAAAAAAATAAAACAGTTTCCAAATAATTAGTTTATAGACTCTAGATTAGTAGAAACTTTTATTTATTTCTTTTTGCTTAGACAATATATTTACAATTCCAGAGTCTTAACATTCATAATATAAATATTACTCTTCATATATATATATATATATATATATATATTATGGCCTGGGGAGATTTTACTGAAGTGAATAGAACATTCGTGAGGAAAGGGGATGTGCCATTTCCAAAGGAGGAGAGAGAGAGATATGTCTGCCTGGACAATAACCTTTGCGATCGACTTTTGTGATTCCTCTATAAAGTTAGTCAATGAATGGGTTAGGCCATGCCACGTCTTTGTTTCTGCCACCTCTCTTTATATTATTTATATTTCGAAATCGGACCCTGCAAAAATACTACTATGCCCAAATTTATGCTAATTTTAGAATGTCAAATGGACCATAACTGTATTTTCTTTTCTTTTCTGCTAAATGGGAACAAAAATTCAGTAACGGGTTATCTTTTTTCTTTTAATTTTTCGTAAAATCTTTAATTGCATTCAATTGATTTTATTCCATATAATATCTATTGTAAAGCATTGGCAATCTCATTATATTTGATCCAAAATTTTCTTAAAATGGTCGAACAACACTGTTTAATACTCGAACAAGCGACATAATATGGTTCCGGGTGTAAAAATTGAACACGGGTACGGGAGACTCCTTATCCATTAGGCCACCCACGGGGTTTCAAAGCCAATTAGATCCCTTTCTTCAAATACTCCTAACCAAATCGTGGGTTACACTTTAGTCTATGTTGAGGCAACCCAAAAAATATGTGTTTTTAGCATCCACTTACTTCCAACTGTCCAATACTGCTATAGAATAATATTTCACCTGAAATAGAGTCCATGAATGCTCTAAGCCCACGAACAAGTTTTTAGTTTGTGGGTCATATTGGGTTGCTTTGATGGGTTTGCTAGCACCTAGTTTGTGTTTGGACTTTGGACTACTTGATTATGGCCCAAAATCAGTAGATTGTTGTCTAGTGGATTAGGTCATCCATAACATCTTGGTAACCAAAATCATTATGTGCTTCAAAAAAAGTCTTGTTGGCCCAATTCATTTCTGTCGTTTAATTTGAAAGTGTATACGTGTACGCGCGTGTGTGTGTGTGGTGGAAAGGAATTTGTAGCACCAGCTTGTATTGTAGCAAGGGAATATAAAAAAGGTATGATGGACCACTTTACAAGTAGGCTTGGCCAAGTTAATTGAGTCTCCACGTTTCCACAAAATCGCGTAGTGGATGTGCTTTTCAAATAAAAAATATAGGTCTGGTTGGTGAGTCCCATTTGACCAAATGTTCATCACACTACTATCATTTTCATGAGCCACTTTCCATAGTGAGCTAATAGTTACAGTACTTACCAAGTCTATGAACGCTTGAAAAACAAGTTGAGCTTCGTCATCGACTTAGGTCCAATTAGTATCTCTTTTCACTTTCTAACGAAAGGCTGTGAGTTCGAGTTTTTAATTATAAGATTTTTCATATTTGTGAATGCTAGCTTGAAGAATAGGTTAAATTTGAAATTCAAATTGTATTATATGTACGTGCTTAGTCCAATTTGTTACTCTTCTTTATTTTTGACGAATGACTAAGAGTCCGAGTCTCTAATGAGACATTAATAATTGTTTTGTTATTTTACCAACCAAAAAGACTGTAAATTAGATTTAATTAGCACTTTAGCAATATAGTTTTGACCAGTGAATTAAATTAAGGTTATACTTTTGTCCATGGACCACCAGACCTTTCTTCACTTCAAGTTGTCTCTGCTCATCATTTCAAATCAATGTTTTATTTCTAACTTTCGTGTAGTCCACTCTATCTCTACAACTCACACCAATTAAATAAGGCCATCCATCTTTGATTATAAGTGTGTCATTGATCACTCAACAGTCGACACATGATAGCTATATTTATTTAATTTAGCTATATATATATATATATATATATCAATTGACTAGTGCAAGAGATTACAATTAACTTAATTCAAAAACTTATTGACACACCACAAACAAGCTTTATAAATTACATCAAATGTCTTATGATAACAGTAGAAATCAAATGAGCCCATTTTAATTCCCTCATAGAATCTGATCATAATAAACTCACACTGAATTAATATTTCTGATCCTTGTGATCACCAGCACTCATAAAACTTGATATCAACGCGAAGTCGGAAGTACACCTCACCTTCAAAGGCATCGGTCATGATGTTGGCAATTCCCCGGTGCATGAAGAAGTCTCCGGTGCCTCCCACCACCGAAATATCCCTAGTCTTCACCATGATTGGATCAGCCCCCATGAAGTTCATGCTGCCCTTGTAGTCTGTGCTGTTGAGTACAAAAGAAAACCCTAACCACGCGGTGAAGGTGTTCTTCGTGTCGTAAATGTAAAGCCCTTGAGCCCTACCAACCGGAGACGAATGAAGATTGTTGTCAAGAGTAATGGGGTCATCAAACACCACCACATTGCCAAAATGGAACTGACTGGCTAATATGGTCATGTTGGCGCCTTCCGGTGCACCTACAATGGCTGAAGTGGCATTGGCTGCATTATGGCCATTGTAGACAATGTCATGGAAGTATAGGACCAAGTGTTTGCATGGTTTATAGCTCCGATTCTTCTTCACCGGATATGCAGAAGATAAATTGAAGAGAATGAAGAAAAGAAGAAGAGAAATGGAAAATTTTGATGTCATGATCTGCTTTTTTTTTTTTTTGTAACAAGAAACAGTAATAGAATTGAAGTTAACTCAGGTACAAATATTGGATGAGTTTCTCATCACCTTATATAGGGAAGCTAGCTGATTGTATCTTATGTGGACGCAACTGTTTTAAAAGGAAAATATATATCAAGTTTGACCTAAAAGATTTTTTATCCCCACAATAATTAGGGTTGGTCTACCAACCTTCTAGTACTGTCCTAATATATAGTTGCATTAATATAGTATTGTAGGTCATTAATACCTAAATAAAACTAAATTCAAACAAATGAATGTGAAGAATATGATATTTAATCCAAAGTTTGGTGAAACTCAACTAACTGAAAATCTTGATCTTGGATAAAAGTGCTTTTCGTATTCATGACTTCCATAGACAATCATGTGGGAGTAACATTAAAATATATTATATATTGAGAGTACTTAAGAGACAAAATTCTTATAGTGGAATTTAAGTGTGTAAATAGTTGGGAAAACTCCATGATTAGCACAAAAATTAACTAATAATTCGAGATTAGAAGAGTGCTCACGAAAGCTAAGCTTGCATGGTGGCAATGAGAGGTGCGTCAACTAAAAATGAGATTAATTATATTACATTATCTTGTTTATTTGCCAAAAAGGTTTTGTCTTATGGAATTAATATTCTTTAATTTGTTTTGACCTGGGCGGTTTGATGCAGTTTGAGGCCTAAAGTGAAATTGCTAAATTAGGCCTTCTCATATTGATTATATTAATGTAATACTAATCATTTTTGTTTTAAAATTATTCTCTCTATTTAACTTGCAATGAACTTAAGAAATGAACTTAAGGATATATATATATATATATATATATATATATATATATATATATATATCTTTTAACTTAATAGATAGTGGGTAGAGTCATAAATTAGAAAGTACAAATTTTGAACAAGTATATGCAAGATAATTTAAAAGTTAAAAAAATTCAAAATGTGAAATTGTTGAGGTAAAAAAGAGAGGTAATTATAAGATTAAACTATTCTGTGAAAAAAACTTTTATTGACCAATAAAAGTACAATTGTATATATTTAGTAATTAATACAATACACTAAGCATAAATAATTTATTAAGGGTTAAGTGCATTAAACCCCCTCTGAATAATTTTCTCTTTCTCAAAATACCTCCTGAACTATTAAAAAGACACTTAACCCCCTAAACTATTCAGTTTGTTGCAAAATGTTAGTTGGCCGTTTGAAATCTAACGGAAAGAAAGGCATGTGTGTCACGTGACTTGGCAAATATTCAGAAAGACAAAAATAACCTTATAGTTATTAAATGAATATTATATATATATATATATATATATATATATATACACGCGCGCGCATCCACCCTCTCTTTCCAACCACCTTCGTTGTCTATCCATGACCATTACCTCCACTGGCGATCCATGGCTGCCACCGTCACCTCCTGCCGCCGCTGCCACTGCCACCGCTCTCTCGCTCTTACCAAGATTCTTTTTCCCTGACAACCACATCCACTACCAACCCTATCTCTTTCCAATCCACCTCTCTCTTTTTTTTTTTTTTTTTTTTTTTTTTTTTTTTTCCCTCTTTAACCTCCAACTCCGGCAATGACGAGAATAACGAAAAGGTGAAAAATCATTCAACAAAAATCGTTTGTTGCAAAGGTCAGTGTTTGGAGGGGAATTGATTGAAAGAATAACGCGTATTTTTTGGGCAGTTGCGATTGAGTTGGTTTGGTAATCCGCCACAACAGATTTTTGGGGCTTTTGTGACTAAATCTGTAGCTTTTATGATTGGGTCTTGCGGCTAACCCCAGGTTGCCAACACATTTGATAGCAGTATATAAGTTGCAGGATTATTAGGACAAAGCTTCACAAGTTTTCGCAGTAACCGCCTGACCATGAACATGGATCTGGATCGGATTAATTCTACTAGAGGGTGCGGCCGCGAATGGTGGAGCTGAGGAGAAAGAGGGTTGCTTAGTCGGCGACAAAGGCTCCATGGATTCTGGCGACCATGGCCTCCATAGATTCCGGCAGCGATCCGTCATGTGTTTGGGAGATTTGAAGAGGTTCGTGAAGAGGAGATTTATATATGTTGTGGTTAAGTGCATTAAACCCCCCTGAATAATTTTCTCTTTCTCAAAAAACCCCCCTGAACTATTAAAAAGACACTTAACCCCCTAAACTATTCAATTTGTTGCAAAATGTTAGTTGGCCGTTTGGAATCTAACGGAAAGAAAGGCATGTGTGTCACATGACTTGACAAATATTCAGAAAGAGAAAAATAACCTTATAGTTATTAAATGAATATTATATATACAAATATATAAATATATATATATATACACGTGCGCACGTCCACCCTCTCTCTCCAACCACCTTCGTTGTCTATCCATGACCATTACCTCCACTGGCGGTCCATGGCTGCCACCGTCACCTCCTGCCGCCGCTGCCACTGCCACCGCTCTCTTGCTCTTACCAAGATTCTTCTTCCCTAACAACCACATCCACTACCAACACTATCTCTCTCCAATCCACCTCTCTCTCTCTCTCTTTTTTTTTTTTTTTCCTCTTTAACCTCCAACTCCGACAATGACGAGAATGACGAAAAGGTGAAAAATCATTCAACAAAAATCGTTTGTTGCAAAGGTCAGTGTTTGGAGGGGAATTGATTGAAAGAATAACGCGTATTTTTTGGGCAGTTGCGATTGGGTTGGTTTGGTAATCCGCCACAACAGATTTTATGGGGCTTTTGTGACTAAATCTGTAACTTTTATGATTGGGTCTTGCGGCTAACCCCAAGTTGCCAACACATTTGATAACAGTATATAAGTTGCAGGATTATTAGGACAAAGCTTCACAAGCTTTCGCAGTAACCGCCTGACCATGAACATGGGTCTGGATCGGATCAGTTCTACTAGAGGGTGCGGCCGCGAACAGTGGAGCTGAGGAGAAGGAGGGTTGCTTAGTCGGCGGCAAAGGCTCCATGGATTCTGGCGACCATGGCCTCCATAGATTCTGGCAGCGATCCGTCATATGTTTAGGAGATTTGAAGAGGTTCGTGAAGAGGAGATTTATATATGTTGAAGACCCAGATATCCCACAAAGCTTGCGCCGGATGTTAGCTCCCCCACACCACTGCAATGTGCAGAGATGGAAGAGAGAGAATGAACCAAGAAGGAAGAGAGACACTGTTGCGCATCCAGGCCACTTCAGCTTTTCACGTGGGTCAATTTTAAAGTCCAGTGATTAAATGTATTTTACCATTTCTCAAATTTTGTCCACAATAAAATTATTAATGATAGGATGACTTGTCAAATTTTCATTGGATATGGAGATTACAAAGGCCACATCAGCAACTAAAGTTGGATATGTATAATGGGCAAAATGGTAATTTTAGTTTTTAGTTGACGGTTGTTTAACACCTTGGGATTAAATGCAACATTCTTATAGTTTAGGAGGTATTTTTTAGTTCAAGGGGGTTTCTTGCAATTAACTCATAGTTGAGGAGGGTTTAATGCACTTAACCCATTTATTAATATATATATATATATATATATATATATATATATATATATATATATATATATAATCGGAATAATATAAAAGAAACTTGTATTAATTAATAAAAGAATAATCTTATTTATTTGATAATTAATATAATAAAACAAAATTAATTCTTTAAAACAAATAGAACAAATATAATGAGACATGAGGCCTACGTGCCTCTTCTCCTTTTGGGGACCTAAAACAATCACCTAACAATACGATTAAAAAATATATATAATTAATGTAATGAGATATGTGCTTTTTTTTTATTGGTGACCGTAAGCCATCATCTTAATTACCTTATAATTAAGCACCTTGACTTTGAGTGACTGAATTCATGAACCAAATTAAATTAAGATTATACTAATTCTTTCAGGGGCACCACCAGCTTTTGTCCCTTGTAATTGGCATATCTCAAGATTTGCCCGGAAAGTCCAAAGATTATATAGTCTACAACCAACTTCGCGCTTGTCACATACCACATACACACCTTGACCAGCTTAGTGGGTGATCTCAAAAAGGTACTCACAAACAGTTAGGCATGTATATTTTAAAAAGTTTAATTTACTCGCCTCTTTATAAAATTTAAGCAAGAAAGTACTTTTAAAAATAAATACTGTATTAATTAAACAATAAGTACAAGAAAGCCAAGTGAAGTATATCCAAAAAGTGTTCAGCATTTCGAATGTGTATCAACCCCTATATTCCATTGTATGGGTTAGAGCTAGACTTTGAGACACAAATAAATTAATCGTTTTAATTAGTTATTTACCAAACTAATTAAGCTCGTCCTAATTAACATGTATTTTATTTTATCTTTTTCATCACTAGAACATATGCATTATAAATTATAGTTTATGATGGAAATGTTAACAATTAACCATGTATTTTTCAATATCAAGTGATCATTGTGAAGTTTAAACCATATTAGTTATCAATCATTTACTTTAAAAGGGAAAAAGATTTAACTTTAATATTTAAATTTTTTAATAAATAAAAATAATAGTAATAATTAAGAATCAAACGCACATGCAGCTACTAAAAGGTTTGGAGAGTTGGAATCTTGAGAGCAAATGATACGAACTCTCTAAATCTTGTTTGCTTCCCAAATTTGATAATGCATGTCTAGTTAATTAATTTGTACAGAGAAGATGATAAGAAACCCACCTACATAATTCAACTTGACATGGAAAAGAATAATTTTGGTTTTTGGGGATTATATATATATATATATATAGACATGTAACGTGGTTGGTGGTTTGTTTATTCTCTTATCTACAAAAATTTTCTATTCAATTTTGGCGGAAGATTGGTGGTAGTAGGTGTTGATTTAGATTTTTGTGGCTTGAGTCCAACTGACAGATGATCGACATATTATTTTGTTTGATATATATATATATAAGTCTCCTAAATAATGCACTAATCTGATTCCTCCAATTTCTTCAAATTCCAAGTTGAAATGAGACAAATGGGTCGGCAACAACCTTATTCACCATGAATTTCAATTCCGTTTTGTACATTGTTCTATCTCAATTCATTATGATTGAAGGAAGGATTCG